ATTCCGTGTTCGTCGTAAAACTCGTCCTCAAATAAGCCAATAAAGTTGTAAATCTTATTTTATATTTAACATAAATTGGTGCCGTCCTTTATTTTGCTGACAATCATATAAAATTGAAAATAAAAAAATTAAATTGTTCACAATTGTTGTTGTTTGAGATTGAAAATGAGAATGTGTGTGTGTGAGTTTGAGTTTTGATTTTAAAATCATATTGTTGGCAAACGTCAGACTGCCTCTCAATGGTTTTACCTTGTTATGTTTTTATCATGGTTTTAAGCATGATACAAATATTTAAAGGTAAAACCAAGGTAGAAGTAATTTCGACATTTCTCTCTTTTGAACTGCGAATAAAATGTCAACTCTTAACCCTATACTATTCAAAATTTTAATTTTTTTAATATAAATTTTCAATTGTGAGCTGTGCAACTGATTTTAAATACATAATCAAATGAAACGGAATTATGGACGGTATGTTGTGCTTGACAAGAGCCAGGACAACAAACTTGTGCGTTATTTTAAAACTCCGAAGTATCAATGCTTGATTAGGAGACTCTTAACGTGTGCGCGAAGACCATTTTAGTGCCAGTGACTTTATTTGTTGCCCATCGAAGCCGGGTATTTCTAAGCGGACGCGTTTGTTCCCAGGTGCAGGAATTATTATACCGAATATGAAGAGAAAATTTTTCACTCATATACAAGGATAGACCAAATTTCAAATGGTGGTCTAACAAAACGTAAACCGGAATTCCTTGTTGACATAAAGTAACTGAAATTAACTTTTAATAAATTTAATGGAAAGGAAATTTCGAATTGCAAAAATTTAATAGCTGAACTATTGAGGTTAAGTTCTGATGTAAATTTAGAATAATCAAACCTTTTTTTAAATGTCTAATATACTCTAGAATTAAGTTTTTGAATAAAATAAATAAATGCTTAAAAACATTGGGTAAAACATAGTAAAAGCAAGAAAATTGCCAAAATGGGTTTATAAATGAGTGTGTTTCACTAAGTGTGTAATTTTCTGTAAGTATGCATTTCCACATTTACATTAAAACGAAAAGGCAATACCTAAAATGAAGCTGATTCTAATGAGATTTTAAAAATTTTCATATCTACAAAAACTTTCATTTCAAAGAAATTAGGCCGTAGTTATAGTCAAAATAAAGTCGACTCTAAAAAACCGCGTTTTTTGACAGATATCCCATTGAAAGTTATGTCAAAAAGCTGTTTTTAACTTTAGGACTCGACTTTATTTTGACTATAGCTACGGGCCGTTGAGTTTTATCAAATATGGTAAATGCATAACAAAGGGTTAATTTTTTTGTTTACATTTTTTGACACTACAGTCAGCTATGAGAGAGCTTGACTGAATTGTCACTTCTACCTTGTTGAATATGCCCAAGGTGTATTAAACAAGGTGTGATTGACAACTCAGTGCGGCTCTCTTTTAAGGTACTATAATGTCAAAAAGTATAAACAAACGAATTAACCCTTAGTGATGCATGTATCTTATCAGCACTGTTACCCAAGGCTTTTATTTTGATTATAGTTTTGTTTTACTTACATTACCTGGAATATATATATTTTAATTGTCCAAGTTTTATGCTTTTGTGTGTTTATTTTTATATTTAAATTTTTTATCCTAAACATTATTCGACACTTATAAAAGTATGATTTTACATTTTTTCCAATTTGATATGAGAGCTTAACTCTAACAATTTTGAAATTAAATTTTTTTATGCGAAATAGTTTGGGTATAAACGAGCTCATTTGAAAGTGCTTGACTCGAACGAACAACAAATGAAATCACTTTCCTTGAAGTGGTTTTCACAAACGCGAGATGAATCACGTAGTACAACACCATGATTCAATAATAAAAGGTTTGCTCAAAAAGCAGTTTTCTCGCTCCCTCTTGACAAAATCGGCTCCCTTAGCAAAGCACTGTGTGTGGGTTCGTACCAACACCACATCGCTGCCGTCTTAACTCGCAACTAGGTGGTTTAAATCATCGCACTATTTTCGTGTCCAGACTTCTATTGCACACAGCGCACCGTTCAAAAGTTTTGTTTCGTTTCATCTTGGTTTCCTTACATTAAATATTTAAGCAAAGTTGAACGTATTTACTAATAAGTAACTTTATAGCTGGTTTCTCCAACTCATCTTAACTTAGTTAAGTCAATTTTCTTGACTTAGTCAAGAATAAGCTGTGTAAAACGTAGGCTACCTTTTGACTTAAGTCCAAAAAGTGGCTAAAGTAAGTTAAGTTGAGTTGGAGAAACCAGCCATAAATGTGCTGACTTGCTCTCCTCGGCGGTTTATCTCTTAACAGTCTCACGTTTAAGAAAATTTGTTGCTTGAAAAATTTTTGTGTACATTTTTTTTAAACAAATTCAAATTTGAAAAAAAAAATATTTTCAAATGGGTTAACAATTCATTCAATTTGACATTATAGCCTGTTTCTTATGAGAGCAATTTCAAAATCAATCACACTTTGTTGAATACATTTTGAATATGCCTTGGGTAAAACCACAGTATACAGTAATCCAGATAGCCAAAACAAAAAATGTAAATATGCTTATTTGACATTTTGTTTGAATGTATTGGTTGATATTTTTTCACAGTTGTCGTTTTCGTTAACCCAAACGAAATCCAATTTAAATATTTTCTTATAGTTAAAAATATTTTCAAGTCACATAAAATAAAATAACGAGAAAAACAAAATTCCAAGCAAATCAAGCGTGAAGCGTAAGCGATTATAACCGGATGCAGTTCCTACGTAAGTCAAACCGTGTTCCGAACACAACTTTGAGTGAGTAATGGTGGGGTGACTTTTTAAAATGGTCCCATCGATTAGGCGGTAAAACAAGTATTACTTAGCTTAAGGTAGAACTCTCTAATTTTCATTTCATTTCATTTTTTCAACTTATTCACATTTGAAAGAGGATAATGCATGAATTAATGCAAGTAAAGATGGTTTATGCAGATAAGCAAGCGCGTTTGTTAACCGTATAAAATGTATGTACATATATACACATATGCATACATATATACCAAAATATTCAGAATGACGAGATGAACTAGTTCAGCCCTCTCTGTTTGTAAACACGCTAACTCGAACAAAATTTAGATACTTTAACGAAAGTCGGTGTCGAAGTTGCCTTTGGTATAAGTTAGGTTAGTGTTAAACTTTGGCGAAATCTGCCAATAACTACGCCCACTTCCCACGTAGTAATCAAAAATATTTTTGTTTTATTAGTATTATTTTACGAATTTTGCTGTTCAAATTTGCATGTCAAATATATCAACAAACATTTGTGGGTACTTTTGCACCAGTCGCTGCCTATGGGTTAATGACAAATAAATCCTATACATTCACAATATTTCATGTATTAATTTTCAAATGTCTGGTTTACTGTATACTGTGGGTAAAACCAAAATGTATTCAACAAAGTGTGATTGATTTTGACATTGCTCTCATAAGAAACAGGCTATAATGTCAAACTGAAATGAATTCTTAATCCATTTGAAATTTTTTTTTTCAAATTTGAATTTGTTTAAAAAAAAGTTACACACAAATTTTTCAAGCAACAAATTTTCTTAATAAACATGAAATTGTTAAGAGATAAACCGCCGAGGAGAGCAAGTAAGTACATTTAAAGTTGGGTAATAAGTAAATACGTTAGACTTTTCTTAAATATTTAACGTAAGGAAACCAAGATGAAACGGAGCAAAACGTTTGAACGGTGCGCTGTATGCAATAAAAGTCAGGACACGAAAATAGTGCGACGTTTTAAACCACCTAGTGGGAAATTAAGACGGCAGCGATGGGAAGAAAGCTATGGTGTTGTACCACGTGATTCATCTCACGTTTGTGAAAACCACTTCAAGGAAAGTGATTTCATTAGTTATCCGTCCGAATCAAGCACTTTCAAACGAGCTCGTTTATACCCAGGCGCAGTCCCAATGCAATACGATATAACTGAAACAAGTGAGGATTTAGAACGCGATCAGTAGCGCGTTTCTGTAACTCGTCTCGATCAATGTTCTCGATTGAAATAGTCGATTTGATGTAATTTGACGTCATTCTCACTTGTTATGTTTCTATAAGAAAATGAGTCGAATTGGTCGACAACGCTGGATTTTCGACTGACGTGTTTCATTCCATTTCAGTAGGAATACTCCATTGAATGTGTTTCTGTAACCAAATGAAACGAAGTATTGTCGATTATTATTCTCACTTGCCTTTGAGCTGGTGACAACTGTATTTTGATGTGTGTATGTACATATTTCGTTTATTTGAATTTAAAATGGAAGACATTGGATCTAAAGCCAGCGTAAGTACTTATATATTTGTTAATATTTTGTATACTTATGAATATTTAAATAAATACACATGTATATTTGTTACAGAGGAATATGTCGGGCCGGGTTACCAAAGGTCAAAAAAATCGGTTGCTCCAGCTAATGCAACAGCATCGCTGCGTTGGTAAGGGCCAGTTTACGACACCAAACGCCAGAAAAGAGCATGCAGAAGTATGGGCTGCGGTTGATGACGAGCTGAACGCATTTGGAGGGTCTCATAAAACCTCTAACCAGTGGAAAAAGGTAAAACCGAAACTTAATCGGGCGTATAGAATTTAAATTTAGTTTAGGTTAATTATATCAACCATTTAAAAGACAATAACAAAAAACTTTTTTGACGTTTTTTTTATGTGTATTGTTTTTCTTTTAGTGTTGGATTGATTGGAAATCGTCTGTGAAAAAACTAAATAATTCCCACAGAGCGTTCGCCAGACGCACTGGTAATCTACCGTTGCAGGATGGTCCAAAACCCTTGGACGCTATGGACACTGAAGTTTTGGAATTTTTTTCAAGAGACATGGTGGATGGGGATGGACTCACTCCCGAAATCGGTTTGGCAGTAAGTAACATTTCTCAAAATTAAAAGTCGAGTTGATTATGAAATGTAGTGTTACGTTTGATATGTACAGTCAACGGCTAAAAGTGTTGATTTGCCGGAGGTAGACATGGTTGACCTCGACGTGTTTGATGAGGAGGAAGTAGTCGAGTTTCCACCGGGTCAGAGGTTTGAAGTTGTGGCCAATAAGACAAACAAAAAGCGCAGTAGCCAAAGTTGCGTGGAAGAAGCTAGTGTTCTAATTGAAGCCCAACACCAACAATTGAAGAATTTGTTGGAGAGGCAGCACAAGGAGCATATGGATGCCTTAAAGGGCATTCATGATACATTAAAAGCTCTTTTAGAAGCTATGACAGGTAAAATTTAACGATAACAGCTTTTTGTAATATTGTATCGCATTAATATTTCTTTATTTTTCCTACATTTTCTATATAATTTCAGCACAATGAAACTGTGAAATTGCAAATTTACTTTTTAAAATATTATCTATACCTTTGAAGTGCATAATAGGTATTAGTATTTATTATTTTTTATTACACACACACTAACACACAGTGCACAATGCAGCACTAATTATTAGTACGCTAAGTTTTACAAAATATAGTTCATACTCCAAAAAAGAACATAAAAATAAAATCTCGAAACTTTGTGGAAAACTCAAGAAAAATCAATAAATTTGCCTACAAGTTTGAAACTTTTTAATCAGATTTTTCATAAAAGTTCTAAGTATGCAGTTTTATAACCCATTCAATTTTAGTATTACGAAATGCAAGTTTGAAGTTGTTAAAAAAACACGCTGATTTTTCGCGGCAATTTTTTCTTGCATACATAAAAAACAAAACTGTAGAACAAACTTTGTATGGATGAAACTGCGTGAAAAAGTTGCTAAAAATCAACACGACTTTTAGCAACGTCAAACTTATTTTTGGTGTACTAAGGTACGATCCTGTAGCATAATAGTGGAGTGCTACACACAGTCTAATTGAGTTTGGAATGAACGTATTCCTTACTGCTGTATCCATTAAAGGCTCCATTTCTACAAGAAGTTCCCTGACTGCTGCCCTGCTGAAGCGAAACAACTCTATAAACCGCGCCTCTGGAATGCTGAATGGATCTGTGGAGTCCCTCAAATACCGCCGTCGCATTCGCAGCATATTTCTGCGGTCCTGTTGTATCGCGAGTGTAGCTACCAACAAACTCATAGCTGAAAATAAATATTTATCAATATTAGGGCTGTGCGATTAATTGATTACTCAAAATTTTAATTAATCATAAAGTAAATAACTCAATTATTCGATTAATTGGAAATTATGATTACTCAAAAGTTCAGTTACTCGAGTAATCAAGATTTTTGATTAACCAAAAACAAAAATACTTGAGTAATTTGCTTTATGATTAATCAACATTTCGAGTAAAATGAGTAAACAACATTTCAACTCTTTACATATGTATAAAGTAGTTAAAGCTCATTGATACTTTGAACACAACGTTTCTGTTTTCAAAAATTAAAACAAAAAAAAAATTGTTCATATACAGAATGTAAAAAAGAAAATAACCATTTTCCAAAGCAAACTCTTTTAACGAGCAAAATTATTGTTTTTGAGTAATCATATTTCAAGTAACTCGATTAATCATCGTTTTGAGTAATCAAAATCTTGATTACTCGAGTAATTGATTAACCGAATAATTGATTAACCAACTTGCTCGAGTAATCGAATAATCGCACAGCCCTAATCAATATACAATTTTTTGTATACACATTTTTGTTTTCATGCTTACTTTTCAAAATGTTTTGACAAATAATTTTCAATTCGATTTCACACATTCCTTGTCGATTGGCATATCATTTCTCTCACTGTTCCACATTTTGTCGATTAATGCTTACGGAAACACTTTTTCTCCGCCAATCGACAAACTTGGATCGAATCGATATGACGTCACTATAATCGAGAATTTTGTCGATTTCTTACAGAAACGCGCTACAGAATACATTCTTTGTTGATCTCCAAAGTCAAACAGACGACTCTTTAGAATGCACGTTGAGAACAGAAATATTTCTTCTTACCGAAATAATTAAAACCACGCAAGCAAGTATGGAAGAGCTTAAGTTAAAACTGCTCGAAGCAAAGTCTTTAATGGAAAACTATTTCGCATGATTAAAATTTTATATAAAATTGAAAACAAATGTAAAATCCTACTTTTATAAGTGTCGAATAATGTTTAGGGTAAAAAATTTAAATATAAAAATAAACGCGCACAAGCATAAAACTTGGGCAATTAAAAAACAAGAAAATTGCTAAAACTATTTTATAAACAATTTGTTTTATTTTATTGACAAAATATATATATTCCAGGTAATGTAAGTAAAACAAAACTATAGTCTGCATTTCTTTATTCATTCTGAACGTTTGGAATAAACTTTTTTGTTTATTTATTCTTTAGAACGTTCCTGATTATATGTTGACGTATATTCCAAACGTATTCTGTTTATTCCGGCTGTGAAATGAGATTATCCGGAATGTATAAAGAAACGCAGCCATAATCGAAATAAAAGCCTAGCGCATCAGTGCTGACAAGATACATGCAAAACTAAGGGTTAATTCCTTTGTTTATACTTTTTGACATAATAGATACCACCAGATACCACTAATTTTTTTAACGTACCTCAATGTCCTTCGCGTAAGGAGCGTTGCATAAGCAGCTGTGGGGTAGAGCTGCAGCGAAATGCCTTCCTGTGCGCTAAACACTTTAAAGGAGCAGACTTCACAAATACACCGGGAGGTACAGGAAAGGCACGTTTGATACCAAGTGCTCTTCCTATGACCCTAATGCCGAAGAGTCCCTCCAACAACAATGCAACTCATAAAACAAAAATAGAAAACAACATACAAGTTAACAAATTTTAATTAAGAAAAAAAATAAATAAAAATAAACTTCAATTTACTTAAAAACTTTAACCAGTGAAATGTAATTTTTTATTTTTCCTTACGCACGCTCATTTTTATTTTTACTCTCCCGAAAACTTTGAATTTTGTAAGTTTGACGTTAAATTGGCTTCTGGCTCTCAGCGATTGTACCTTATAAATATTTTTATCATGGTTTTAAGTATTCAATTAAATTACCCATACACAGATTCTATGGAAGACTGTGCATTAAATTGCAAACTTAGCAGAGTAACTTCTTCTTAACCATATCCACCAATCCGCCGTCGACATCTTTCCAACAAAAATAAATTGTGCGTTTTATAAAACAAAAACATGTAGGTACATACATACATAAAGTTCTAGAAGTTCTGGATTGAACAGGAAAGCACCTTTGCTATGCACTTTTATGGAAGTAAACCAGTACTTCCCGGATGCGCTGAAAATGGCAGTGATTTCAGACAAATACTCAACACTGCTACATTACTTTTTACACAATCCCAGTTCGATTTCTCTTAGTTTCTCTTGAATTTTTAAAATCCACAAGTTAAACTAAAATAATTACTTATGTATGTATGTATTTTCGTAAATTAATCGCAATTTTATAAAACGTTTATCACTGTTTACTTCCTCTTCAGGAAACTGCTAATTGGCGCGGAAACATTTAATGAAGTTGGCTGTAGCTAGCCTTTTCGTCAATTTCCCTTTCCTACCCTTAATTCCATTGACTTCCGGTAGTGCATTCCAGAATTCCAGCCATTTTGACATTTGACATTTCTTTTTGACTGGAATTTTTATCTTGCTTTGCTTTGCTAACGAAATGCCAAAAAAAGCAATCCGAGTGAGTTTTCAGCATTTTTTCAGCGCAATTTTTATTTTGCATAGTAATTTTCGGTAATCAAATTGGAACAAAAGCAAACGTTTGCTTGCGGAACGTGTATGAAGTGAAGCGGCAATATTTTTCTATCTATAGCATGCAAAAAATTTATTGCTTAAAGTGCTGAGCGCGTGTCAGAAAACTAGCAATTATTTTTTTTTTTTTTTTTGAGTAGATTCTAGGCCGGGATACTTAGATCCACACAAAACCGCGGTTGTTCCTCTTGGGTGGTTGTTTCGACGATATAAAACGATGGCCAGCCCAGTGGGTCCAAAACACTAAGCTGCTCCAGTAAAGTATTCGAAAGTTGTTAGACGGTATTTTTTGTCAAATGCTTAAATGTGCATAAGCTTTGTCTTTTCCATAGACTTTGCTGCATGTTGTTAGGTGAGGTTTATAACGAAAGGCTTGTGGCCAGTAGGACTTTGCGCATCAGTAGTCGTTGTGATCCAGAATTCAAAATCGAGCAGCAATGTAGCTTGAGGCTTATACGTATTGACGTATATTTTAACAGCGTGGATTATCGGGTTTTGAGCGAAATGGGTTCGGATGGGAATGTTACAAATACAGGGTTGTACATAAATACAAAAGGGGTTTAGTAATTAAAAATTAACGTTGGCTTTGTGTAAAAATTTAGAAAGCTGTGTAACCTTGGCAGTGTTGTTTCCGTTAATGATCTCTGCAAAAGTGTTGTGGTTTTTGAAAATTTCTGATATTCATGAGTCTCCTGCAGTGGAACGTCTGGTGCACGTAGCCACCAGCTTGTCCACAGAAACATTGATTTGTATTTAAAGCATTAATTTTACATAGATAAGTTCTGTCATAGGTATGACCGGTTAAGATTCTATTCAGTCGTTTGACCTCAGCAGGGGACAGTAAAAGTTTCCTGAACCATGTCTGTTTTTTCCTATTGACAAAGGTAGAAGCAAAGAGGTTCGGGTGATTCCGTGAGTATTCCAAAAATGAGTTATACCAAATGTTGTACATGTCATCTTTTATCTGCTTGGTTGCTTCGTCCATCGTGAGTCTGTAATTTCTGCTAGAACTATTTATCGTTGCATTTTTGGCAATTTCGTCAGCTTTCTCATTACCTGAAATCCCTTTATGGCTAGGCGTCCATACAATGTCTATTAGGAAATTTGCTTCAGATGCTTTCCTGAAAATCCCACAGGCAATACTATTTGTGGTTTTGGGTTGTTTGAGTATTTGACAAGAAATTAGACTGTCAGTGAATATGGCCAGCTTGCAATACCTCTTCCTTTTTGCTATTTCAATCGCTTCATCTATGGCAAGGAGCTCACCAAAGGATGATGAAGCCTTAATAGGGATATGAAATGCATGTTCAGAATTGTCTGAGAGGTCAAAAAAGCCACAGCCAGTTTGATCCGCTAAAGACGCATCAGTGTACATGATCTGATAATCATCCGCCAAATAGTCATTCAAGAGCTTGGCATAATGCGCTTTGAGAGACTCGGACGTTAAGGAGGCTTTATTGCCTGTAAAGGTTTTCAGAAAGATTTTAATATTAGGAGGTGAGGAACAGCAGTCAACCGCATCAAGACGGTCAAAAATGTGTTGA